TACCCACATAAATAAAACAATTATCATTCAAGGCATAGACAATTTCGAATAACACCCACCTGGATACCAAGATGTAGCTAAACATAGAGTTGAAGGAATAATCGCAAAAGTTTAGCTCGACGAACCTACAACAATTATAATAGCCTATGAACTGACTATCCAATACAAAACAGCACACAAGGCACATATACTTAGCCGAAATTATATAGACTAAATGACTTGTGGATTCCTTGACCGAGTTAAGTACAATGGAGTGACTACTAGACCTGAACACAACTCATATACCTCAGGTAATACACATAAATCATGCCAACATCAATAACATCTAACTCGAACCTAAACAACAGATAACCGAGCATTAAGACTCCAAAATAAACCAAATTAATAATCTGGAGTTAGACTCAACCAATCAACCTGAAACTTTACCACATCACGAGGCATACAAAAAAAAAACACATAATATTACCAAGTTTCAGCCCTAAATTCATCCAGGAGCATTTTTAAATAATTTAAGCAAAAAAAGCCAAAATCCAACGTTAATAGTTCATATAGCTACACTTCGAATTTTAATACAAAATTTTGACACAAAACCGAATACCACAAAATAACATACTCCTCAAAGTTTCAGCTCAAAACTCCAAGTGTACGATTTGTAATGAATATTACAAAATTCTAACCAGAAACCGATTTAATTAATTAAAATAGCTACAGATGGATTTTCGACTTGAAAATTTTACACAGCTTACAAAATCATCACAGGACATCACATGTAAAATTTCACGGCATTCGTAAAATCACACGATGTATCATGAATTAATTACGATTCAATAGCATGCTCGGTTTAGAAAATTCATAACTCATGATATACACATAGAAACGACCTCAAACCAAAACCAATAAATCACGGACAACTCCAAGTACCTATAAATTTCTACTTAAATAACACTAATAAATTTTTATTAATATGGTAGGTTTATTTGTTGTATATAGAAGGTTGGCTCCACTATGGAGCAAACTGTTGGCTTCATAGCAAAACCGTTCTAACTTAATGAATAGTTCTTTTTTTTTAAAAAAAAAAAATTAATTTTTCATATCATTAGGTTCGGGGGCGATGATGTTGCAGTATTTGAAACAAATGTTGATGAAGTGCTCAATGCTGAGAAGGCAAGTTATAATTAACCTATGGGTTGCATTATGACACTGTAACCAGTACATCATCATTCCAAGTTCTACTAGTACAGAGCCCGTGCGATGCACGTGGTGTACAATTTTAAGGTCATTTATTCAACCTTATAATTATATAAATGAACAAAGAAAAATGTATGGGATATATATATAGTACGCGACTGTGCGAGGCACGTGATATATTTATTTGGGGATTATTATACTATAAGATGCAATATTCAATAAATATTTTACAATACTTAAAGATAAATCATGTAAATATCTAAATACATACACGATATGTAGAATAAATAAATCAAATTGCAAATCTGAAGATATAATTAGAAAAAATCGAAAATATATTTCACTAAGCATGTATAAAAATATCTAAATACATACACAAAAAAATATACGTTTCAAATTTCGAAATTAAAAAAAAAAATATTCAAAATAATTCAAATTAATTATTTTGAGATTTGTAATTTATAATGGGTAGAGTAGATATATATTGCTGTTAATATATTTATTGGAAAATCTGAATCTGAATATATAGAAATCGGTTTGAACAAAATCAGAACAAATTTCTATACAATTAGATAATAAATTAAATAATAAATTAAACTTTTTTTTTTATTTTAGTAAAGAATTTACGAACTTTTTTTTTACTTATTAGATGTTATGGGGTTATTTTTTGTTAAAACAATTTTATGGGATATATTACAAATACAATTAGAGGATTGAACAAAATCAGAACAGATTTCCATACAATTAGATAATAAGAAGGAATTAGATAAGGAATTTTGAATCTGTTTTTTTAGTATAGATAGACTTTACGTACAAATTAATTTTGACTTGACTGATTTTATGGGATTTGATTTGACAAAATCGATGTTAAGATGGAATAAGACAAATAAATAAAACCTTTTTATTTTAGTAAAGATTTTACGTCTTTTTTTTTTACTTATCAGATGTTATGAGATTTTTTTCTTAAACTGATTTTATAGGATATAAGACAAATTAATAAAATAATTAAATAAAATCCTGGATAGAAATAGCAATGCATTAATTACGTTGACTTTTCAACCTACTAAATTTGGTAAATAGAATACTTTATTATATA